TGGCTTACCTTAACTATCCTGCACAAATCATGTTTAAATCCACAAAGGTATGATCTTGTCAAGCCATCTCTTGTCATTTAGTTCTTGACATCATTCTGCATACTTTTAGCAGTAGATGGGCAAGTCTATTTGCATAGTCTTTGGTATTGTTTTTCAGCTATTTTTTAGTTCAACAGATGATATTTTACAAGATAGGATCATGACATTACTAACTTTGACCTCTTCTATCAGGTGTATGCTTGTAAATATGCTTTTGGGTATTTGAATTATCTCTTTTAGGTGCTTCCGATACTCTCTAGAGAGTTTGAAATTGTTTAATTACGTGCTTATTTGTTGTTGGATCAGGTACTGCCTGTGATGGTGATGGGAGCCTTTATTCCTGGCTTGAGAAGAAAATACCCTCTTCACGAATATGTCTCTGCTATTCTTCTGGTCATTGGCTTGATTCTCTTCACATTGGCAGATGCCAACACTTCTCCAAATTTCAGCATGATTGGGGTTGCGATGATTAGTGGAGCTCTAATTATGGATTCATTCTTGGGTAACTTGCAGGAAGCAATCTTTACCATGAATCCTGAAACAACTCAGGTGCTCATCACTTCTGATAGAGTTTTTGTCAATGCTGTTCCATGATTGAAAAGATATGATGACAACAAAGCGTAAATCACTTTTTCTTGAAAGTTTTACATAGGATTTCTGATTCTCGCAGATGGAGATGCTATTTTGCTCAACAGTGGTTGGGTTGCCTTTCCTGCTTGGACCAATGATAGTAACAGGCGAGCTGTTCAAGGCGTGGAGTTCTTGTTATGAGGTACGCAATACCATATGATTCCATTGCACTGAATCTTCTTATAGAACAGTGTGTTGTAAGAAAAGAACAAACAAATTTTGGAACTGAATTAGCATGTGGAGATGAAAATATATCCACTTCAAATTCCCAGCAAGATGGATTTTTTTGGCTAATGTGTACTACTATCTTTCGGTTGCGAAAGGAGGTTATGTGCACTCCTTAAACACATGCTACATTTCTCATAAACAGACTAATTAGTTCGCTTTGGATGTCTAGGAATTTGTTTAGCCATCCATCATATATGCTTCATTCCACTTTACTACTAGCTGTTGTATAGTTCTAACAGGATTACATTGGTCACAATATTTGCAGCATCCTTACGTGTACGGGGTGTTGGTCTTTGAAGCAATGGCCACATTTATAGGTCAAGTCTCTGTTCTATCACTCATTGCTTTGTTTGGGGCTGCCACTACAGCTATGGTAATTGCATTGTTCCTGACCTAGTCCTTCTGATATTTAAACATTCATTGACTTGGATTTATTAGTTTGCTATGTTAAAGATAAAAAGCAATTTTGCTGTCAAACAGATAACAACAGCAAGGAAGGCAGTTACGTTGCTGCTGTCATACTTGATTTTCACGAAACCTCTTACTGAACAGCATTGTTCTGGTTTACTACTCATAGCCATGGGAATTCTAATCAAACTCCTGCCTGAAAATAAACCTCCTACTCGAGTTTTGATGCCCAGCACCAATACAAAGCAGGGCAAGTCTCTTTTGAAAGAAGTGAAGAAGCCATCAGATAATAAAGGAGACGAAGAAGATCAAGGGAAAAGCCCGTTAATCTGAGGTTTACAATTTGTAGCCTGTTCATATGCAGCAGCTTTCTTGCTTTTTTGGCTTCCTTGTACCTTCAAAGACGTTTAGATGGTAGCTGGTGATTTCTCAATCCCACTGCAGCAGCCTTTTCGCTTTTTTCATTTTATCATTTTCACATCCCATACGATTCTTTGCTTAAGTTTTGGACTAGCTTTACTTGTAACACTATTGCATAAGTTAAAATTAGTTTATATATAGCTTCAAATGCTGAGGAATCGTGATGGAATGAAATGTCACTCTGAAGTTTGGTTGACAAATTTATGGTGAACTAGTCTGAGTTTCCAATCTTAGGAAGATCGAATGAGAAATTGCACCTCTACGATTATCATGAATGTTCGTGATTGGATTGTTTCATCTCCGCTTCCAATAGCACAGGGGTAGCAAAAGAACCTAATGATGTTTATCATGTTGTAGCTCAATTGGTAAGGATTTTGTTCTTCTATTAGAAGCATACGACTTCAGCTTTTGCTATGTTTGTAGGTAATTCGTAAGAATCATTGTAAGTCGCCTTTTGCTACCCGTTAAAGCAACATTATTCTTGTTTGGGTTGTCAATTATTTACAAAATTTTATTTATTTATATTATTAACATATTTTTCAATCACTTTTTTATCTTATATACGTCATATCAATAAGATCCTATATTTTTTCTATTTTTTTTTTCAAAAAGTATCCCGAATAATCCACTGTACAAACACACTATACAATGATATGCATGACCTTTGAATGGGATGAATCTCCTCTCTTTCTCAAAATATCCAATGATGATATATATGGCTGCAAATTCAACTGAGTTGAGTGCACTTCAATGGTCCATGATGAACAACACTATTGTAAGGGTGGTAAAGCTCTGATATTCTTGCTCTAGATAAGATGAAATAACACTTCAAAACCAGGGTGAACCATCTTAACTTAAATTTTTTGTAGCATGTGATGCCTAATTTCCTTTCACCAGATAACAGAAACGAATAAGGTATGAGATGGCATGGCCATATTCTTTTATCTATTCATGAATAATTAAGAAACTTAAAAACCTACCAAAGCCACTTTGATCAGCAATCAATTTACTTTATCAATAAATTTTATATACATTATTAGTGTATATACACTATCACGATTGGATGAATGATACATAAGCAAAGGAGATTTGAAAAACGATATTTTTATGATGTACTCTTGCCCAAGTTTTGGGAGATTTGGAAAAGGAATCGACTATGTTTGGATAGCAAATTTTTCCAAAAAAGTCTCTTACTTGCATCATAAACACATTTCTCAATTCACCTTTTTATATTTTTAACCACCTTTTTATCTCACATACATTATGTAACAAAAAGTGCTATAGTAATTATTCCAAATAATTATTGGGAATAATGCTCCATCCACAATGCAATCTAATGAATGGCTTTTGGTTTCTTGGTGAATTTTGCACATTCACATTGGCCAGTAATTTGTTACAGTTAAGGAACAAATGACAAGTGGCGTGTAGTCTAGTACGGGGTTTGTTTGACTCGTCAAGATTCTTTTCTTAAAATTCGATTAGTTGAAGTATTGACAGTAGGCCCTTTGGGCTTCGGAAGGAAAAAAAAAAAAGTATTGACAGTAAAAAAATGTACATTAATAGTTAGTTACGTTGAAATTTGCTAATGCCAAGGATTCCAAGTTCTGACATCCATGAAATGATTATATAGAAAAAATAGGATAATTTCAAACGTAAAAAAGAAATTAATGAAAATTTTTTATATTACATTGAGCAAAATTTTTACATCATTCTTGCATCTCTTCCTTTTTACCCCTTCTAGCATCTCAAGTATTGATCCTACAACCTGGTTAAAAAAAATAAAAAGAAATCCAACAACCCGACGAAGTATCAATTAATCTTCTAGGATCGCAAAAAGGTAAGGGAAAAGACAAAGAACAATGCTTCCAAAAAAAAAAAAGGACAAAGAACAAGAAAATCATGTCTAACGCGCGTTAACCAAACAACAAAAATTGGGCCATATGAGCAGACAAAACAAAAGCCCATTAGCTTAATGGACACTGACCTTCACAAAGAGGCTCGTCCGCAAGCCTAAGATAGAAATTTTAGTGGTTCCCATTACTTCAAGATACAGGACTTTTGTCATACGTGGGCCATGTCTGATAAAATTACCGCCCTTCGTTGTCGGATCTCTGCTTTAAGTTGTCAAGTACACATTATCATGATTTCCCATTTAAATACATTAATTCATATTTTGTTGTATAATTCATTAAAGTTTCAACTCATCTTTAATGAGATTTCTCCCTGTCTCCCTCTTGGTTTCTTAAAAGAAATAACAATTTACTACTCAAATTTTAAAATATGAATTAGTTATACGAGGAATAGAGAAGCAGGTTATTGTTACAATAAGCCAATTAAAATTCATCTTGAATTCTTTACTTTAAATAGAAAAGTAAATAAATCTATTGCCAACTCGATACCGAATCAATATTTTTTGGGGTTGGATGTCCATCGGACACTGGTTAAAATATATTTGAAGAATTATATTTTTGAAAATGTAAAATTAATTATAAAATGTAAATAAATATAAAGAAGAGTATGTATGATTAAATAGAAAAAATATATAAATGTAAGAGAGAATAATGCATATATACATAGTAGATTAGATGAATTTTAGATGTGTTAACATATGCTCATTAGAAAATCCCATATTTTTTTTAGATAATAGGCAATGTTAAGTGGTGTTTGTAAATGAGTTTCTCTAACGGTCCCATTAAGCACTCGTTAAAATTATTATAGAAAAAATGATGGCTTAGATGGCATGGGTAAGCGAGTGTAAATGAAAGATTTCAGTTCAAAATCACTCACTTATATTAAAAAATAAAAATACTATTTATTATCTTCTCTTACATTTATATATTTTCCCTAATTAATCATTGCTTTCCAAAATTTTAACACCTGAAATATATTTTAACGAGAACACTCGTTAAACAGACTTTATTTAGATAGCTTGTTCTATGAAAAACTTTTTTTTTTGTTTATATTATAAATACGTTATTTCGATCATCCTTTTTTTATGCCATATAATTCAAATTTCAAAAAGTGTAGACTATTGTTTCAAAAAGAATTCTAAATTATCTTCTATCTAAACATATTTGTCTAATTTGAGAGGCATTAATATGTTCGGGAGTCTGATTCTTTATGAAATTTGTAACAAGGGATGTAAGCGTGAAATACTCTCCATGATTCATCTGAAAAATTAAATCAAACGGCCAAAATTGAATATTCGTACCCCACCTGATTTCAACGGCTAAGATTGTCACCTCCCTCCTCTGGTCCTCTTCATTGAAAAATCTCCCATCCTGTCCCCTTTGTCTAACGCCCCCCACTACAGCACTCATACTAATAGAAAAAAAGCCCTAATTTTCAAAATTCCCAAATTTTCCTCTCCGAATTTACTCGTTTTATTAACCAGTCGACATTAATTCAGTAATTTTCTATCGCTAATAATGAGAGGAACGAAACGCTTCGCCGCCTCCGACTTGAATCCATTACCCAATGATTCAGTAAGTTGTATTGGAGTTTTTTTTTTTTTTTTTTCCTTTTTCCCCTCCTTTTCTTTTATGTTTTGAAGTACATTTTTTCGAATAACCACGGCATTTTTAGTTCAGCTTAAGTGCAATTTTATACAGGAATATATGTTGGAAGCATTGATTATAGTGGAATTCCTTTTTAGCTTTTTGATTTTATTGAAATTGTTGATTATACTTCTAATTGCACATATTTGTGGACATGAGCTGTGAAAAAGTGACCTTTTTGAAGGAATTTTCAGTCAGAGGCTTACTAATATAATGTAAACTTCTGAGAAAATTGAGTATTTGTTTTTCAAGTAAAATAATTTGCTTAAAAGGAAGGAAAAATATATAGCTGTTGTTGGATTTATGGAACTATTTTCTTGCAATTGAGCAGAAAATGAACTTTATTTTGTTTCTGAAAACTGAGAAAGATTGTTTTTTTTTTTTTTTATACATGATTGATGCTTTTTTATTTTTGTGAATATTGGATGTAGATTCTGAGTAAAAGAATACTGGCTGGGTCATCCCTTGATACTCAAAGGGCTGAGCCATCTCAACGGCAAATAATGACAGCTAGTCCACCATTGGATATGCAGAGAGCAGAATCATCTAGACAGCATGTGAGAGCACTCAACAAGCAATTCGCGAGGTCTCTCTTCTTTCTCTAGATAAACTTTCACTTTAAGTTGCTTGTAGTCATATATACATTGAGAGTCCAATTTCAAATTCTGGAAATACTACTTCTGCAGGCAGTAAATGCCAGCTATATTTTTCTCCTGAGGGAAGCAGTTTTTTGTTTTTATTCCTTTTTATTCTTGTTAGTAATTACTCTTCCCAGCATTCTAGATAACTAAATTCCTTGTTGATATTTGAAGTCTCTATGGTAGTGGTAGCAAGAGTTAAATTATTTGTTCACAACAGCCTTGTGTCACCATACATGCCTTTTGGTATTGTTGATTATGGGAAAAATTCTGAACTGGAGCAGCTGTAGTTGTGCTGGTGGAGATTAAACCACATGACCAACATTGTGCTTTATTCTTATTGGTACTTAAATTTGGAGCACCTGGTCTTCTGGCAATCCATATACCGTTGTCTACATTTTTTTTTATGCATACTTGCTTCCGGTGCCATGTGAAAGTTAGGTTGATTTTTTCTGTGCAGTTGGATCCAGACACAATTAGAGAAGCACCCAGATGAACTTTGGGAAGATGGAGTTCAGGACTATCTGAATCATGCTAAAACCATTATGGTAATAGTCACCACGTCCATTCAATGAAGTTGAAATTCTTCATCATTGTTCATGATACATGAAGTTGTTCTTGATGTCAACTCATTGCTAGGCAGGTTTTCCACTGTATTTATGCGTCAATGGATTCAATATTTACACAGAAACAAGTTTTAAACAGAGCTTTATTTTATTCTACTAGTCGATAAAATCGAGCAGTAGTTTTGGCATCAGGATTTTATGGTTTATAGGTCTCTTTAGAGTTGGCTATTCACAGTTTCCATCTTTAACACAGATGTTTGCCATGATAGGCCTATACCTAGTTGTATTTGGTCAAATCAGCTGTCTACTTGTGGAATTGAGAATCACTTTATATTCTTAGAATTGCTGCAAATCACTGTGATTTGTTATAAAGGCTGTTTTGATGGTCCATATTACTCTGTTAAATAGGAAACTGAAGTCTTACTGTAGAAACTTCCAAGTCTAGATAGTTTTTCTTTCATATTTTACCTGTTAACTTCTCCAATACCTATTGATTGCAGGAGAAATTCGATGATGTTGTCAGCTGGCTGAAAGCGAATGCTGCAAAAGCTGAAAACAACTCTATCACTGGTTTGGATACCATTCAGAAAAAACCTGTATCTGAAAGCAAAGAACAAGCCAATAACTTTTTATTTGGAAAACCTGGGATCCCTCCAGCTAGTACAACTGCAAGCTTTGGAACATCTTGGGGTTCTGGACCAGTCTTTAACAATAGCAGTCCTTTTTCTTTTGGTAGGCAGTTCTTTGGAGCATCTTTGACGGATAATAATCATATAAAGGGAGAACTATGTATATCATCATTGACGAATGCTTTTGCTGAGCTCACAGATAAATAAATTTTAATATTTGTTTCTTGTTTGAAAATTCAGGTGGTCCTTTTGGTAGTAAAATTTTGATGTTGATTTATTTTAGTTTTGGAACAACTAGTATTAGTTGTTGTGTATAAGAAGCAAATTGAAACTAAGAGGGAACAACATAGTGGAGTTGTAGGTAGGTCAAAGGTGAGTGGATAAGAACTGTTATTTGGTTTGAGAACAGTTAGTTTAAAAGGAAATTAAAATGATTTGGAAGTTAATTATTCATCTCTTCTTACTCTTCTGGGGTGAAACTCTGGAAGTGATAGCACCAGTGGAAATGAACAGTGGTTACAATAGTTATTAACCATGTCACTGAACACAAGATTTGAATTGTTAATGCACAAAGACACCTCAGAAATTAGATATTGCTGTTGATTGTGTTGTCTGTCTTGTGGGATTCAGTTCTGTAAATTAGGATACTTTAGGTGAAATTTGATCAAAGTTTGATGTTTGGAAATTTGATCAAAGTTTGATCTGTATGGACAGCCAGTCCAAGGAAGTCGCTGCATGGGGGTAGAGTTGGCCTAGGGCCTAATCGACCGCTTGATTTGCACCCAGATCGAGCTGGTTGGTCGTAAAGAATGCTTCAGACTTATCATAGCCAAGTGATATTGAAGAGTTGAGCTAGAGTGAACTGAGAGAGAAGAAGAACTTCTTGTTTATGTTTTTTGGAAGAAAATTTCAAACACAAATAATGCATTGATATTTACGAATGCTATCTCTGCCCGGATGCACCTTTAGATTTGCATTTCTCATCCATTAAATATGATTGTATTTATGGAATGAATGAGAGCCATGACTGATAATAGCTATATGACCATTTAATAACTTGCTTAAGATTGAAAATTCACTTCCCCTTGTTTTGGAATTTGAGAAGAAGAAATTCAACCTGGATTTGCCAAGTACTGTAATTTTAACTCATTTGAACTTTTATCTTTTATAATCTTAATCGGCATCAAAATTCCTCTCCTTCCATTGTAGTTATATGTTTCATATACAAGTATCAAGCGTTTTTCTGTTGTGAGAGAATTTGTGCAATTTTCTCATTCTATTTTGATGAAAACTTGTCTTAGTAGTAAATATTAGCTTCAATGGGTCAATTTGAAAGCATTAGTTCCTGAGTGGAACCACTCTTAATTATAAATCTATTGGCAAACAATCTGATTGTTGTTCCAACACCTTCTTGCTTTATTTTTGTAATTTTAAGAAACACAGTATGATGATTTTGCATACTTTTAGCTGCTTTCCTGCTATTGAACTAAATTTATGTTAAGTAACTATATTTTTAAATGATGTTTTTTCCCCTTTTTTTTCCAGGAATTCAAGGTTCTGTTGGAAACAAATATTCAGTTTCCATGAACAACGATGCTTCAAATGACACAGTTGAGGGTACACATAGGATGTACTTTCCTTCAGTTAATAGTAATTAATCTCAGTGTTAAAATCATGTGGTGTCACTCTTTCTTCTTGTGCTTTTTGGCACTTAATATTTAAAATGGTGATATGTTGTTTGTTTAAAACGTGTCTGAGTTTCACTTGGTCCTATTATTTTCTGGGGGTTCTTCTGGTCGTTACATATTTCTCTAGGTCTAAGTTTTAACCTTAGTATGTTGAAGGTTGATTTTCATGCTTTAGCAAATTGTTCATGGAGTTTTTGTGCTTTTAAATAATCTTCATAATAATTATGTTTCTGATATCGACCATGAGTTGCGATGGGTGTTTTCTTGTCTGGTTACTCAATTGTTTGAGTTTGAATCATAATATATTGAACATTATTGACTATGCTAACAAGGTGGAAGGTTTATGGATGATGAAATGCTGTTTCATGCATTTAGGTGGGAGAATTTCTGATATCATGTAACTTGTTTGTTAATCTTTGAGGGTTACACTGTTGTTTTGGAAATTTTTTTCCATCCTTTGTCTTATTGGGTTGTGACATGGGTTTTCTTCTTTTCATTCAATGACCATGGGCCCATAGTTCCTTGATATCAAGTCAGTTTTAATGCTGCCTGTAGCTTTTCTGGATTTTCTAGTACTTTTTTTAAATGCATTTTTAGTAAAATGAGGTGTCAAGTATCACAGTATTTGGAATCCCATATCTCGCCTGTGAAAACTTCCGCAGATACAAGAGTAGTGTCCTGTTATTATTTTGTCAGAGAACGAGATTTTTTCAACTTGACTTTCACTGAAGTATGTATTGTTTGTTTCTTTTTATTGTTTCATTGGATTACAGAAGAGGATGTGGAGCAGCCTAGCAGTCCATCTGTGAAGAAGACTGAAGAGGAAGGAATCATTGTGGTTCATGAAGTTAATTGTAAAGTATATGTCAAGGTAATGAACTTTCTGCTGGAAAACAGTTAACGAAAAGGGAATTTTAACAAATTTTGAGTAGATGCAGACGTTTCCTCTATCTCTAGCACTGAGTCACTGCACTTCATGGACATTTTTCATAACAGAACTGATTTATTCTTTTGACTGTTGAGTTGTTGTTTTTTGTTAAATATGTTAGCAACAGTGATGCTGCCAATTTCGTACATGTTACTGTACTTGAGCTGTTGCATTAAAGGACTTGTGTTCTATACACTATTTTTTGACGTGTTACTATGAAAGAAAAATTAATTCTTGATAGCCATGTAACTTGAGTTTTTGCATCTAGGCTATTCATGCTCTTTTCATACCTGATCTAAGTTCCTCTTTAATAGAATTTAGTCCTGGTACAAAGGTTCTCATATTGATGAGCGTCTTTTGCAGCACATGTCAGGGGACTGAAGTATGTCACATATTTCAGTTTATCTTTTGGTGCTTGTTCTACGTCATTCAATTACATGCCAGAATTTAGGCTGTATAGTAGTATATTACATCTGTTGCATACTCAACCTGGCAGTTTTACTATTTCTTTATGTCCAGTCCAGTGACCCAACTGACAAAGATGCATGGAAGGATAAGGGCTCGGGGCAACTTTCTATCAAATGTAAAGAGGGTGTTGATAAGGGTACCAGAGAATCCAAGCCAATTATTGTTGTACGAAATGAAGTAGGTCCTCTTATCATACACTTTATGCTACAGCTATGTTCCTGACCAGACTGGAAATCAGTTTTGTTTTGTGGGAGAAATCTTAAGATATACTGACAGGCCAACGTGCTAAGCATTAGGTTTAATTAGGTTGAGATCCATTATAGTGTTTATAGCGTTTTTATAAGCTCTTTAAAATGGTTAGGACATTCTATAATTGCATCTTGATATGACAGATATGGTGTTACTCTTTGAACTGATTGAGCTTAGATCTCAAGATTCTGCATCTATAATCGTTTCCTTGGCTTCAGGTTGGGAAGGTGTTGCTCAATGCATCATTATATACTGGCATCAAGACCAATTTGCAGAGGCGCTCTATTATTGCTATATTTCATACTTTGGTAATGCTTCCTTATGCATTATTGTTTTTCCGTCGCAAAATAGTCGCTTCAATTGCTTTTGTCCCATCTACTTTGTAGGTTGGAATTGCAGCCCTATCATAAATTGCACTCTGTTATCTTCAGGATTGTTGACATAACTGGCTTTGTCTCGGAAACCATGGAATTGACCTTATATAAGTAATATGTATCACCATGGATCCATTTCTCTGTCTTCTGTGCAGGCTGGCAGGTGCATCAAAGAACATGTGATTGTTCTGGCTGTAGCTTTTTGACGCATTTGATTGTTTATTGCATCCTTGCTATGCCATATTGATCCCATTAATTCACCAGTTATCCCATTTCGCCTTGGGGATAAAAGAAAAGGAAATTGAAGTTCTTTGCCCTCTAGGTTTACGTCTGTTACAGTATTTACTAAAAAGTGTGCTCCATTTCATTACTGATACTAATCTATGATGATTCAGTAGCTCTGCTTGGATATGCAAGGTGTCTTTCATGTGAGTAGACCTGTTGGTGTTTTGCGGTTTCATATGAAACTCTCTAATCAGTGAATTGATGTCTGTAGGCTGATGGTGACAACAAAGAGACCGTTGTTGCACAGACATTCTTGATAAGAACTAAGACTGACGAGGAACGCGATCAATTGGCTGAGGTTATTAAAGAATATGCTCCTGCAGCATGAAGGTTGAGTTGGAAACTGCATAGATGGATCATCTTGTTGTACAAACTATCTGAGCGTTTACGAGTCGTGCTTGGATATTCTTTCTCTATTTATTTGTTTTCCAAGATTTGTGGTCGGGGAATGGCATCAAAATTTAGCCGATCGCTTTTATCGGAAATTTAGGTACAGAAAGCTTTATCTGTAATTTGAGGAAAATTCCAATGTATAACAGTAGTGTTATATAGAGGAGAAACAATACATGCCCCGTTTAACAAAATAATTTAAGGCTGTGCTTGCATTGGAGTATCGTTCGAAAATAACTACAGTAATACATAATCTTAAAACATTATCAACGCTATATAATTCATACAACCTCAAAGGTAATATATCAAAAAAGAAATTGAAAAAATATGATCAATGCTGTAACATTTTCTTTACTTAAATAATACGGACCCTAAATTATTTGCGTCTTTAATAGTAGTATCCTCTGTTAACGGTAATTTGATTTTATTGAAGACAAACACTTTTCCTCGCCTTTCCTATGTTTCTGTAGTTATTGGAAAACTTACCAATGTTGATTTGCGGAAACATTTGAAAGGTTTCTGGATATTGCTCGAAGACCGCAGTCAATCTTTGTCACCCTTAGCTGAGTGAGTGGGAAACAGGTCATCCGGTAGTCTGTATTTATCTAGAACTAAAAAGCAATGGTCAGCATCCAAAAGCGTTTGTAGTCCAACGGTTAGGATAATTGCCTTCCAAGCAATAGACCCGGGTTCGACTCCCGGCAGACGCATTCCCATTTCCGTTTCTCTTTTGGCAAATTCCCTTCAATTTATGCGAGTTTTACCATTTTCCCTTCTCTTAAGCAAGACTACGGTGATGTTCAATAGCGGCCAGCTCGAGATTGGACACAAAGTTCGAATCTCACGTTCCAGATTAATTGCTTAAATAGTTTGAGCCATGAATTTTAAACAGGTGGCCGGCTAAAATGGTTTTTCTTTTGCGGTTTCAACAAGTCAAACTTGCACTGGTAGGATTTCGGTGTTTGAGTGGAGCAATCCTAGAATTCCTCGTCTTTTTCCATTGCTTGCAATATTTTGACCTTTTACATTGCTACACAATCAAAATATAAATCATCAGGCTAACCGATTTATATTCGCAAAGCTGAGAACCAAGAAAGGGTCATTACACAGGCAGAAATTCTGCAAATGCACATTGAGTCCATTTAACGCAGAGCTGACTTTCTTTTAAGTGACTCCTCCAGCCTTGAATACTCTAGCATACCAGCGATGATCTCAATGCGGCTGCACTTGGAAGATGTGTGCACGATGCCCAGCGGATGACTGATTCACTGGCCATGAGATCCAGCTGATCAAGTTCACCAAGACCGATTGTGTGATTCCTTTTGCTTGAAATCTTTGATCCATTAGCCACCCCTCCCCTTCGAAATTCTGTTCTGTGCTCCATTTCACTCAACTTGTGTCTGATGGGCTGTGAAGGATCCGGAGAGAAGGATAGTTGTGCCAAACCTGAACCTGCATGTTCAATGAAACCATACTCTTTTCAAGTCAACAGGTAGAAAATGCAGTTGTCAGCCCCATCTAAAAAGCTACATGAATATTCCCCTTTAAATGTCAATGTCAATGACTCAGGAATTGTTATACAAGTCTTTAAAAAAGAATAATCTTCTAAATACAGCCTTCGAAACATCCAAACATATTCATTTTATCTATTGCATGCTTCAAGAGAAATTAAGGTTATTAGCAGCAGCATCTGGTGACTTTTTGGCACATTTACATAAATGAGGAGGGTTGGTTCATTCTTTGTTAACCATATCATGACACGAGTGAAAACCATATCATGACACGAGTGAAAACACAAATACCTTCACCTATCATGGATGCTTTTGCCTTCAAGCTTGAATTAATGCTCCCATCAATCACGGTGCTCGGACTAAAGAAGGTAAAGCTTGGCATCGAGGAAAGTGGGGATGAGAAACCATCAAAAGAATAGCCTCCTGATGTTGAACAAGGTGACTGGTCGATCAGGAAAGATGAAAAGGACGATCTGCAGGTGAATGCTGGAGAATTTTCCACTTTACTACAATCAATGGCAGGTGATTCGTCACCAAAGCTGTAGTCCTGGTTCCTAACAATGGATGGAGTTGAGAAAGAATAATTATCCACTTCCAATAGTGAAAAACTGGCAGTATCCGTCATGTTTAGTTCTTCAGGTTCCTCTGGCAGATCATTAATCCAGGAATGAGCTGCAAAAGATGGTATCATTACCGCCAAATCCCGAAAATAGTCATCTTGCCTAGCACCTAAAACTTGGCATTTTTATAGGTTTAACTGTTTCAGCTCTAAGCACAACCATATTCAGAAGTATGGAATCAGTTATAAGAAGGCTATTGAACAGAACTTCGATTGATATTTTAAGATGACCACAGAACAAAATGACAAAAGATTGAAACTAACTAATTCATCATGATCTAGCTTATATAATCTGGATGTGTTTGGTGACTCATTCAGATGCAATACTCAGTTCATCCTGTACTTTTTGTCCCAAATTTCCACTTCTTAAAAGAAGTCATCAACATCCATGCAGCCAGGCAACATAGATGTATCTAAGTGAATATGACTACGAGCAACCAAGGAAAATTGAGTCATTGCAAACAACTTGATTAAGATACAGGCAAACGAAACCAAATCTTGATACAAATGAAGACTTATAAATTCACCACACCTAGAACATCTGCAGCACTGAACCTTTTGGAAGGGTCGAGACAGAGCATCCCAACGATCAAGTCCTTGGCAGCTTCAGATATTCGATGCCAAGTAAAAGGATGAAATTGCAAATCTGCTGCTCTAACAGCATCAAAAATTTCTGACTTGGTCTTACCCCAAAAAGGAGGCATTCCACTAAGCAGGATGTAAAGAATAACGCCAGCACTCCACACATCAGCTGCCTGGTTATAACCTCCTGCTAATACTTCAGGAGCTATATAAAATGGACTGCCAACTGTTCCATGCAATTTCTGCCCTGTTAATAGACATACTTAAGTTCATAAAGTAGTCAAGATGTAGATAAGAGAAAACCTCCTGTCAGAAAAAGTAAGACTTTGCCTCCACATTCCCGCATTATCACATCTGTGGAGAATAGATTACTAAACTACAGAAGCAAAACAACAAAGACAAGAACATAAAACTTACTAGGTCTAATATATGTGGCAAGACCAAAGTCTGCTAACTTGATCGGTGATAACAATGATTTTGAGACTAAAAGAATGTTTTCTGGTTTCAAATCTCTATGGATGATACCATTTTCATGGCAGAATGTAACCACTTGCATCAATTGCTTAAAGAGAGTACGTGCTTCATGCTCAGAGAATCTCCCATGTTTCTCAATCTGATGGAACAGCTCCCCACCAGCACAAAGCTCCATTAGAAGATGCACATAATCCTCCTCCTCATAAACAGCCTTGAGATCCACAACATTTGGATGCCCAGATAATTTTGTCATGATTTCTATCTCAAGCTTGACACTGCGAACATCATCTTGTGTCACCAATCTCTCTTTCGCAATGGACTTGCAAGCCAAAACTTCACCTGTCAACTTATCTGAGCATGCCCTAATTATGCCAAATTTGCCCCATCCCAGTTGATCTCCAAGAACATACCGATCAGTAAAATTTGAGGCGTGGTTAGTATCCAAAATCGGTTCTGTCAAGTTCACGGCCCCATAACAGTTGCAGCTTCTAGTAACTGATTTCCTACTAGTATTATCACTCTCTATTAATTCCATAAGAGGCTCAATTTTTCCAATTGGACTCGCCAATCAAATAATGCACCAGCTTTTGCAAAATCATATCCTCCCATGCTCCAAGCGGATCCTTAAAACATTGGGATCTGGGAAGCTCAGGTCCTTTGTGGGTGTCATATCATTCCAAAGACATTTACAAAAAAGTCCCATCCATTTAAAGACCTAAGGTAGCTTCACATAAATCAGAGATTACTCAAAAAGACTTGAACTTTATCTTCCCCTCAAAACACCTGTGGATAATTAAAAAGAATTAAGTACAAATTTTCTCTTTTCAATTGTCGTGAATGCTTCAAGTTCTACATAAACATGCTTGTTCATCCCTCCTTTCATCTCTTCATTTTCTTATCATTTTCCTGGCCGGGTAAAGGGAGGATTTGGGAACAAACCTTTCCTCCAGATAGACTAGCAGATCAACAATAGAATTCAAACACAGGCAACAAGTCCAGAAAACAAGAAATCCCATAAAATTCACACAGGTGTTTAGTAGTATCAAAGACAACTGAGTGAACTTTCATGCAAAACTCGAGACTTTTACTCATCCAAAGCAAATCCCATCGTGATCCACAAAAGCGTTAACTACAAAACCACAATTCTAGCGAAAAAAGAAGAGTTCAAAGTCCTTAAACATAAACAGAAGTCCAAAATTCAGCTAGATTTATGCGGAAGCATTACTAATCCCGAAAACAAAAACCACCCACATTATCAGTTGACTTGAAGTATAATAATCAACTTGTACATGAAGAAATAGTGAAAGAAGGAACCTGCTCAGAGATGCAGTGGGGAAGAAGAAGAAGAAGAACAAGACCGTTGTAATGTGTAGGCTTGCAGCAGCAAAGGCTTCTAAAAGTCCACACCTTGTCTTTGATTTTTCTAATTCTTTTCCCCTCTTCTTTTCCAGGTTAAATCCCAGTTCAAATGCTCTATTACACTCACTGGTAACTGGGACAGCCGGTCACTTCACCAGGAAACTCCCTTTTATGCACAAATTCTCAAAAAAATCTCATTAAATAGTTAAAAGATTCATTATTATTATACCACCACTCATCTCTTTTCTTATCCTTTTCTAATAACAGTTTTCAGCAGATAATGCCCATATGCAAACATATTTGTTACCTGCAACTTCATGGATATATAACCATAGCCCTTGGAGCATAACCATGTATTAATATCTTGTAGAAATATGCATTTATTCACCAATGAGCAAAATGACAACTTTTGTTAAAGTATAATTAGCTTCAATAGAGCCATCAATTGCCATCACATGCAACTATTGTTGCATAACACATATAGACATACCTGCTGTTTAATTATACTATTTAATCAAAAGCTTCACCTTCTTTCTTTTCTTTTTTTTTCTTTCCTTTTCTTCTTTCTTTTTGACAAAATTGAGCTCAAAATTCAATAATAACTATGATAAGTATAAACATTATATAAACAAAAATACGAGTATATTCAGCATTTGTAATATTCATTTAAATATAATAATGTA